GTCCCTCCAATAAAACAAACTCAAAATTACGACAGTAACACAAAACGTTTTAAGAGGTGTAAAGATATCTCCAAACCTGAGCATCCAGTACTTTAAGGTTCACACTGAGCTGTTTCAGGGAAGCGGTGGCTCTAACAATTTTCCTCTAAAGAAGAGTGAGTTTAATAAATTAGGATTATGATAACCTGTTAAAGCCTCCTTTTTTTTTTTTTTTTACTTTACTGCCGAACCAGAGCGCTGATGTTACACATTTCAGTGTGGCTAATAGCGATTTATCCCTTAAATAGTCATCATCTTAAACTTGCATGCACGATTAGACACTGCATATGAATTCCTCCAGGGAGAGAGAGAGAGAGAAAAAAATTGTTTGATGACTTCAGTGGTATGAGGTAATATGAGGTGGTGCGTGTTAAATTATTAACCATAAAATACAGAACAGACTTAGTTTGGATTAGCAGGAGAGAGCCAGTCCATTGTAGGACCACTATATCCCAGACCTACTGACACATTGGAGACAGGGAGGAATTGGGTCAGGGCTTAAATGTATAAGGTAATAGATGGATACGGCAGAGATTTATGTGCGACTCCCTCTCTCCGGAGAGAAATAGAGAGGAAGAGACCGACTGAGAGAGGAGGAGAGAAGGGCGCTTGGTGCTGGGTCTAAATCAGACTGTCAGTTGGTGCTAAATTTTTCCTAAGGCGACAGAGGGAAGAAGAGGGATAGAGGGTAAAGAAAGCAGAGCAAAGGAGAGAGAACTGGGACATGAAGAGAGAGTGGATGGATGGGGAAGGTAGCGTAGAGACTGGAGGAACAGGGAGTTTCACAGGGCAGATCTGGAGGCATTTAGGAAATGCAGCTCGGCTTGTGCCAGAAAAGAAGTTATTTCCGGGCACCTGGTCTCAAGAAAAAAAAAAAGACGAGTCCACCTAGATTATCAGCTGGGATGCTGAAAACTCTTGCATAAATCACCCTTATTTTGTTTTTAAAAGACGTCAACTCTGTACTGTGGAGAGACGGTGGCGCAGTGGGTAGAGTGGTCATCTTGCAATTGGAGAGTTGTTTGTTTGAGTGAATGAATGAATGAATGAATGGACTTTATTAGTCCCAGAGGGAAATTCTTAGTTCCAGCTTCCTCTTGAAGCTTGATGATGTGCTTCTGTGCAAGACATTTATTCTGAAAGGGCCTGGCTGATGTGTATATCAGTATAGGCATTTGTGTGTGAATGTGGGGCTGGTGTGTAGTGTCAAGTTAGAAAAACACAGGAGAAATGGAAAACATTCATCCATTGTCTTTACCCTCTTATCCTTTCAGGGTCTCTGAGTGAAAAGCGGGGCACACCCCGGGAAAGGAGGAGACATTTGATGCAAAATGTTGATCACTTATTTTGGAGATTTGTTACCAGCGAAGTAGTCTCAGGTTCACTTATTCATCCAACCAGCCAGCCAGTCAGTACGGGGAAGAGAGGCAAACTATGTCTTGGTTCAGGACCCACAGAGAATCCAATCACGTCCAAATTCTGCTCTGTTCATCCTGGTCAAATCCAATCATATGTCTTGATTCAGATTTAATTACATGGAGTGGAACTTAACTCTAATCATAATACAATTTGATCAATATCAGCTGGTTGTGCAACGTTGCAAGTTATATATCTATAAAGTCCAAAGGATTGTATCGGGCCATTAACTTTAAAGCAGTCCAATCAAGCACACGGCGACAGTGGACAACTGATTCCATCAATGGTATTATTATTAAGTGAATTCAACGTTTCATCTGCAGCTACTTCTCAAAAACCAACATTACTGTAGCTGCAATGAGATTTTGAATAACACATTGAATTAGTGTAATTATAAATGACACAAAAACCAATGAAAAATCCTTTCTAACTATGTTAAAGTCAGCAGCAACGAAAAACACTAACCAGAGATTTAGCGCTGGCCTTCGCCGTGTTCAATGACCTTCAACACTGATTGTCTTTTTATTGCATAGTAAAAATCTTTGAGGTGTTTTCAAAGTCTTCATAATGTATTCTGAGTGGAACCTGATAAAATCAATGTAAGTCAAGGTCTTACGTAAAACCACATGATCATATTGATCAGTCTGACCAGGCCTGTATTGCATCATGTACAATGTCCAGAGCGACATAAGCCAATTATTAATGCAGCCGGTACATCCTCCTTGTATGTTATGTTCAGATCTTAACATCAGCAGAGTGTACCTTGGCTGACATTGACAACCAGTTTTCAGCTGTTGGTCATCAAACGTGTGCCAGACTGTTGGGTTGTTAGGCTGGGATGTTGGTCCTTAACGTGTTCTTGTGAGAATGAATAAAAAAAGAAAAAACAACATTGTTAGTCATCGGATGTTGATGACAGATTTGAGGATTACTCTACAAACAAAAGCTTTTTATTGAAGCAAACTAGCGAAAGGCATATTTTGTAAAACTATTGATCGCCTCTGACCCTGAAGACTCGGAGGAGGTTGTGTTTAATTTATGCGACAGTAACGGAGGTCATAAGGTCATGAGCAAGCACTTGAAATGAACAACTCTCAGAAGTAAAACCTTAAATGATTCCCGCTGTGAATTCGGCTTATTGCCAGTTAATAAACAAAGCTGTTACTTGCGACGAACAAATCAAGTAGGAATAATTTAAATAGCCCAGCAGAACTGGTGTGACAAGTGGGTTTTCCAACTTCAACACAAAACGCCTCATTTTATGACCACCACAGTCTCAGTTTGATTTCACTCCTTCATTGAAAGCAACTTAAGTAATTAGCAGAGCTCACTTTTTGGTGCTATGGCTGCCATAAACGTGATTCATCTCCTTTGAAACCTCAGCCCACTCCTCACAGGGAAGGCTGCCAGTTTAGGAATATCTCCAGGTTTCAGGGGTGCAAATACATTTCTCAATTTCTCAAAAGACAATAGAGCATCTTTAAAGCTTCATGCAGAACCAATGAAAAAGCCCCATTACATACAGCACCACAACCCAGAGGTCAAAGGTCATTATCCATCATTGTGAAAGACTGTATCTGGTGTGTATCAGTACCAATACTTGCATGTTCAAACTGCTGATTTTCTTTATCTTGTTCCAGAAACACGCTCTACTAACACAGGCAAGCTTCCATACTGATGAGTGTTTCATTTGGTGTCAGTGACGACCGAAGGCGGCGCTACTGATGACTTAAACTGTGTGCCTTCAGCTCCAGTCAATAATTCAAAACAGCTACGAGTCACATCACACACTCCAATTAGAGGCAGTTCTTGTATTATATTCATATAAATTATGTTTGTGGGTTATTTGCTTTGTGAGAATGTAAACTGCATATTTGGGAAGAAAAGCCAAGACCCCCTCAGGATACGCAAGTAGCTTCTGATGCAAGGGTTCGGGGAAGAAGCAGTGTGGGTCGCCGTGCGCTGATCATAAATTTCCTGGAAGCTGTAATGTGTTCTGGCATGACTGAGCATTATTTTCTGTGGGTGAGTATAAGCGCATACAACTGCTAATGAAAGTATTGGAATTACCATTACCGTGTAATGACTCGCCACTTAGGGTTTTCCACAGCCTCTGGTTTCATCTTTAGTAATATGGATATTTCCGTGTTTGCTTATGGATGAGTCTATATAATCTCCATACAAGCCAGGAGGAAATTGCTCTGACAGGACGGAGAACAATCGACGTGAAGTCCACCAGCATTTATTTTCACTGGCAACTTCAGCAGCTGGTTTGTGTGTTTCGCCATGCTAGCCACTTTACATGTCATGAATGTCGCTTGGTTTTTCAAAATGTGTTTTTATTATCCGTGCACGGCGACCCTGTTTTTTGGTTCAGGCAGAAAAACTGCAGAACAGATTAAAGCGAAGAGTGTAAAATGACTGAGTACCAGTGCGCAAAACTCACAGCTCTGTTGGTTTTGGTTATTTCTGTTAATAATCTTGACCCACTTGTGTTGAGCAGCTTTATCCACAGAACAGCACAGATGGACAATGTGGGTCAGGCCAGAGTACACCTGTGGAAATTGTAAAAAATCTGGTAAACATAGGTTTTGATATTTACATCAGAAACTTTATTAGATGTCATAAATAGCTATAAAGTGTAAATGCATCTGAATTGGCAGAGTTTCTATTTGACTGACTAAGGTCACAAACTCAAAAATGATATCACTGTAAAAAAAAAAAAAAAAAAAAAAAAAAGTCTCTAATCTACTGTAAAATACCAGCAGTTGTGGTGACCAGACTTTGAAGGTATAACATTTATAATCAGTGAACACAAGATAGCCAAGTAAAAACACATTAATGATGAAAACACTCTTCAGTGTGGAAGATGCTACTGAGGTGGGTCTCAAAGTTTAGCTGCGTTCAGTCAAAGGGGTGTTGGAAAAGAAACAAAGAGGAACGAAAATGTGTAATGAAGCTTTTTAGAAAGAAACGTTTTCAACAATGGCTCGTCTGCTGACTGAGACCTCAGCAGAAAACAGGTTAAACCGCGAAAAGCCTTTATCCTTTTGAGCTTTCAGTCTCAATCTGCCATGGAAAATGCTGACTTTGGAAATGTGTGCATTGGGGAAACTTCAGAGTCGACGTAAGGCTGAACTTATTGTAGGAAAAATGCAACGAGTCTACTGTGTGCCATTGTTCTAGCCATGCAGATAATGCTAACGGCTGAGCTAATTGCAGCCTTTACAGAGAAATCAGAATTGTCTCAAATTTGTGTTGGCAAAGCTAAGGCGCCTAGTTAACCGAGTAATTCCTAAATTTACAGTAGTGGTGTATGTTGAATGTTAATGTTCAAATTTATAATCTAATGTTACCAAAGATAAAATGTGGCATCAGAATAAATATTTTTATGATTGTATTTGTTTGTATGTGTTTGTGCATAGGTATGAGGGAATTCACATGCATGCACAAACACAATAAACGCACAGGTGGCGCTCGCATAGTATTTATCATTACACAAAACAGAGACTGTGCTAAACTGAGTACTGTTGGTGTCACTGCAGGCAAACAGGTGATTTCTGTTCCTTACTTGCTGTAACAAACTGCTGCAGTGAGGAAGCTCAGCTGTGCAGGATGGACACCAAGTGAATTTCAACACGGGTCAGTAGACATGTAATAGAAGACGGATGGACACAGCCAGGGCTGGATTTGTCCTACGTGAGCACACACACACTGCTGCACACATTGAATAAATTTACAGAAGCTCTGTCACACTAAAAACGACAAAAACATATTTATATTTTTAATGTATATATGATTATTCAGCAGAGTTTCTGTTTGCTCTTAGGTCCTAAACAATCAAGAACCGGTTTGGCCCCTCGACACTGGAGGAAACGGCAACCACAGAAGAAGACGTGCGCACAACTTCCTCCGTCACAAAATGGAAACGAAAATGGATTCGCATCAGTTTTTAGCGGTTGTAGGATTTCTCCTATGTCTTTGATTAAAAACACCACAAGCCTTTTCTCCTTCTACCCTCTAGTACTTACCCAGAATGCCCTGTGCCATCGTCCGCTTCCTCCTTTTGGAGCGGTCTCTGCATTGCTTGGCGTGGACCAAAGTTAACGTTTTTTTTGTTCAGCTGCTGCTTTTGTTCTGCTCATTCACACCTCACCAACCGGACCGTCCAGGCAAACGAACCAGCGTTTGATAAAAGTGGATTATAGAGGGGCAGTGTGAACCCTCACCATGTCTTTCGTGGCGTGTGACCTTTTCAGAGAGCCATCTTTTGTAGTCTTACGCATTAAGGAATGAGAGGTTGCTAATTCCAACATTTCCATTGCTCCATGGTTATATGGCAGCAGCTGCCTAACCAAGCCATTATCTTCTCGTCCACTTAGACTCAGAGTGGTGCTCAGCTCGTAATCGAATGCGTCACAGGAGAGTAGAACAGCTTCTCTTTTAAAATTTGAAAAGTTAACGAGAATCATAAGAACTATGCTATATTTGTTTAAACTGCTCCGACTGTCGGAAATGCATAAAAGAAATGTTCGGGGGCTGATCTGATCCCAGACACGCTCAAAGGAAATCTCTACATCTGCGCGTTTGATGTGATAAAGTTGCGGAGCTGGATGAGTCTCCGCGCGCTCGCTGTTTACTTTGGTACCATTATCTTTTATTTGTAGGCCGATTGTGTCGCTTGGCGGGGAATAAACGGGCCACAAATCAGAAATGTGTTTGTGCATAGGTATGAGGGAATTCACACGCATGCACAAACACAATAAACGCACAGGTGGCGCTCGCAAACACAGGCAAACGCTTAGTTTATGGCGAGGATTTGGCAGAATAATAATAATAATGAAAATAAAAATGAAAAAAAAAAGTGGCAAAGAATGAGTTCGATGCGTTCATTAACAGCTCAAAGCATGAACACAAATCCACCATGTGAATATGCACATTAGAAAATCAGCCACGGCGAGATTCACTCGTCAACACATTTGAATATGCAAATGTTTCTTGGCACAAAAAGCTCTGACAGGCTGTTATTGCATGATTCCAGTGGGTGCAGATACAACGGGCTCAAAGGATATTACAGGAAGAGCAAGAACAGGGTGGAGGGGGTGGGTGTGTGTGGAGGGGGGGGAAGGGGGGGGGGTGTCCCAGACAGTTGCTGGGTAGATGTGTGCCTGCTGCCTGCACTCATCTGTCTGTGGGCGCATGTGTGTGTGTATGCACAGAGGAATTCAGCGGTTCTAAAGGTGCCCTGTGTTTACCGCCCATCAGAGTCTGGGACGTGCTGGTGACAGAGGGCATGAAAACACACCGATTGTATAAATCTCCAAAACCAGGTAAATCTTTTAGTTTTGGACATTGGACTGTTGAATCGAAGCATGAAACTTATTGAATCCCATCAAGGCTGGTCTAATCCAAGCAAAACACTTAAGAAAACGTGCTTCAATTCCCACTGTGGAAGCACAAACTCATCTCAAACATCTCCTCCCAGGTTGAACGTGGCACTCTTTTGTTCTGCGTGATTTTACACTCAGCCGGAATCGGGCTTTAAAACGGATCCGACACTGAAGCCGGAATGAGAGAAAAATGAGGTTTTCTTTCATTTTGAGAACAAAAGAACCCCCACAAAGAATGACCCAAACCCAGCCCAGCGCGTCCTGGATCAAGGCAGAAGTGGCACAGCATTTAGCTTCTTGTCCGTTTTAATCTTCAATCCCCCTCACATATGAGAAAAGCAGGTTTATGTTCACATTAATTTATTCCATACAGAACCAACCTGTTGTGCACATGCATGTGTTGCTTTGTATTCCAGGCAGACTGTGAGGCATAATTTGACCAGTTGTCCGTTTCCTCAAGGACTTTGCTGTTTAAGCTCCAGTTAGGAAGCTCGCCTCGCCGTGTGTGCAGAACCTCCTGATCCGTTTCTAAACCATAAGCTGGTTCTCATCATCTGTGTTTGTTTAACGATTGGCGCGGATTTAAACGGCGAGGTAGATAATCCAGCCTGATCTGCTGGTTTGTGATTGCCGCTCGCTCGCTCTGCTCCACACATTTGAATGTTTCTGCGAGGGGGAGAGACCGCACCTGTGCAAACCCAACGGTGGGGAGGCAAAAAGGTTCAGTTCATATGTAAAGTTTGTGCAACCGCAGTCTGCAACGGACAAAACCCAGATGATTTCCCAACAAAAATATAAAAAAAAAAACAAACAAAAAAAGCAATAATGAAACATCCTCGCCGGTTACACAAGCTACTGTGGTCACGATGTCGATTGGATTTGCGAACTTGCCAGCTGGATTTGACGTCTGTTGAAGTTACTAACGACTCGTTGAAACAAAAGTGGAACAGAACTGCCCCCCATGACCAGCTCGCAAACAAGGCAGTGCTGAATATTGAGCTGCTGTGAGGAAATCAGAAAGCACTGAAGGTCAAATGATAATTTTGGGGGAAGAAGCGAGCAAGAGGACAAACAAGAGAATGAATAACGCTCCTATTTGCGAGTCATTCTGTAAAGGTCGGGGACATTTTTAAAAATCAGCAGGGAATGAGAAACTGCACATGGCAGTCGTTGAAGACAAAATATTTAACCTCTGCCGCCCGATTGTTGGCTTTACATTCATTTTAAAGGATGTCTTTTTGCCGCTGTCAGAGTCTTTTGGTTTTTCTTTGGACTTTGTAGCTGAACTGTAAAGTTGCACGTCCTCTGGAAGGTAATGTCACATTTGAAACATTTCAAATGTGAATATTGCTCTTCAAAACAAAAGCACCTTCTGATTAAATGATTCAGAAATGCGACACTGTCGATTTTCTTTTTAAAAAAAACATACAATTATTTGTAAAGAAATAAATTAATTAACTGATAAAATAAACCAAAAACCTTGAGACACTACAAGAGGGTAAAGAAAGCCAAAGACCAGATCCATCTGAGATGCTGTTTGACTTGCCGACATCTTAGTTTGAATCAAATGTTCTCAGAAAATAAAAAAGTCAAATGTTAATGTGTCGATGTGATTTGAAGGCATAACCAGTAGCAATACACTTTCTTAGACAGGCAACATGACATGCTGTCGGAGAAACTTGACTTGTAAGTAACGACTTGTGAATATATATATATCTGGCACCAGAGAAAAGAGATGGAGCCCTGATTGCTTAAAACTTCTGCAGTGAAACTGGCCGTAAGATAAAATCATTTAATCACAATTAGTGGGTGTGTTACAAATGCTGTTGACAATAAGGAACCCCCAAAGACGAAACGCTGATGAGACCTAGAAATGAAAGCTGGCAAAAAAAAAATAATAAGAGAGGGAGAGATTGCTGACTTTGTAGCTGCATAAGTGATAAAATCCTCCCTGTCAGCATTATGAGGGAATATTCCCTTCTTGCATAGCATATCTTTGGTGAATTAATGCATTGCCTCGATACATTCCTAGAGCAAGTTAAGGGAACGCTAGCTACGTTTCTGGAGCTGCGCTCCGTGTTCAGAGAGAGCCACGTGGACGGAGAGTCTTTATTCATTTCTGTTAAATGTTGCTTTTGGTATTGTAAACTTTTTAGACTCCCCCTTGTAGGAGACGGCAAGAGAGGCTACTTTTCTGCGAGATGAAGTTCACCGTGTCGCAATCACAGGCAGAGACCCGAGTGGGTTTCAGCTAATCTTGGAAGGAATCAACTTTCCTGGATTATTTACAACATATTCTGCATTTTCTTCACTGGCAACCACAAAACCGTTTGCGGTTCTGGACCAGTCAGGAATATTTTGGAAACACAAATTTGAGAACCCGTCCCCCCCGTCCTTTATCGTTCTGTAAATAATAAAAAAAAGAGTTTATGGATGCTTATATGAATGAGAACAAACTTTAACATTCAAGCCTCAGTGGACCTATAAATGCTCAGAACAAAGTACCTGAGAAATGATTCCCTGGGGAGAGTTTCAATGTAGGCCAACAAAATGCATCCAAATACTATATAAAGCGACAGGTAGCAGCTCGGATCCTGTGAAGTACATCGGGGGAGCAAGTCTCTTTCTCTTTATCCCATCTCTCAAGGTCACTTTTTGATTTATGAGAGCTTGCATGTGCCTCAGAGGCTTCCATATTAATGACTGGCTTTATGTTAATGGCGCCATAAAAGAAAACTGCTCCACAGGTTTCATGGACTTACTTCATCAACCTCCATCATCTTGACTCGTTGAATAAAGTATTGACGATGTGTAATCACTATGCGGGTGAGCAATGGTTCTGGCGGTAGAGCAGGTTTTTTTTTTTTTTTTAACGCAGACATTTAAAAGAAATGATGTTTGCTCAATAAATGACCAAATGCGTGCAAGAAATCTGTGAGGTAGCTTATTGGTAGATTATGGTTTTTCACTAAATTTTGACTGCGGGAGCCCTTTTTTACGCTTCATTTTTGTTTTGAAAATAAAATCATCTGATTAATCAAACTAAGTTCTTTTCAAGTTACTCAGACAGTGTTGGACCTGTGGTTGAGGAGCTCTGCTTCCAGCTCCAGCTCCGGTTCGATCGCCATAGCAAAATTACAGACACGCAGGATATTCAGCAGCAACTACATCTAGTCATATGACGTATCTTCATGACGTAATTTTTAAAAAATGGAACCTGCTGTAATCGGCTTGTCAACGTGAGACTTTGCAGGACTCCTGCTTTCCTTCGGACTTGAAAAAACAACTGGAGCCAAGATGAAAAAACTCAACACATTGTCTGCATTGATTAAAAAACAAACAACCATTGCATTCACGGCTTAACCAAATGAACAACATAATTTAAGCTTGCCAGATGTAACAAAGTAAAAATAATTATCTAAAGTTGCTTTTTTAATGGTGTACAAGCTACTTGTCGTAAGGCATTTATTATTTCACTCATGTCTTATTACAAGTCAAAATAATCTGCCAGTGGAACTAATGCATTTTAAATCAGTACCAAGAAACAATCGACTCACAACAAACTCTTACAATTTTCTGAAAAGTTACTTGTAAGTTAGTGTCGCCTGTTTCCAAGTGCACTGGGACATTTGCACAAAAAACCGGACTAAACATACTTGGCAAGA